AATGTCGTTAGTTTTACCATCAGTTCAAGCCTGAAAGGGCAACAGAGTCGCATGACAGACACAGTGATGATGCAGTACACAAGCCGCGGTTAAGACAGCTGACGTGCTATGATTTCTGACAGGCAGTTCACTCTCCTGTGATGTGACCCTGTTCCCCTCACTCACACACACACGACGCGTTACTCTGTGCTGCGCAAAACTCTGCATTTGAACAGTCAATAGCAAATACTTAAAACTAATAACAAAACATACTTACAGTCGCTGATTCAGAAGCGCCAGATTGTCATAGCAAAGTCATTATTGACCCTTTTTTTTTTTTTTTTAGAAATAGCCTTTGTGCACAGCCAGCCTTGTACTCTTCTAGGTTAAAAAAAAACTGTCGTCCATAAAATGCCTTGCACAAATTCGAACATCTGGGTTGTGCTGTTCTGTTGTAAATAAATCTTAATCAATGATTCCTAATTGCATCTACTTCCGGAAGGCCAAGTAAAGTGCTTTTGCTTTCGCACTAAATCACAGCGTCTCGCTGACATGGCTGCATCAACACTACTGCGTTCCTGAAACCACGCCTTCTTTCTTTGCGTGCACATTTGGGCAGCATTATGCTAATATTTCCACATAGTGACGTATGGGGGCGTGTTAGAACGAGCCATTTTTGGTAGGCGTGGTTGACTCTTAACTTTTATAAAGAATATCTCTTTGGATTTGCGACTTTAGTCTTTGCAACTCTACAGATCTTCTTTATGCACCAAGAGCTTATAACACTCCAAAGAGAAAGGAAAACTTGAAATCGCATCATATGACCCCTTTAATAAAACAGTAGGCGAGATGACTTACAACTTCAACTGAGATTCCATAATGCGAAAGAGTTGTAAATGGCAGTGAAATGGCGCAACTGACATCGTAAGTCGTTTTACTGTCGCAAACTTATCAAATGTAATACCTATTTTGGACACAGCAACGAAATTGCCACCAGCTACTGGTGGTTTTAGTTTTATATATATATTTTTTTTTCATATTTTAATATTAAAAATTTCGCATTTGAAAAACTAATCTCTTAGCATTAATTATGCAATTGCAATCAAAAGGAAAACTTGAAATCGCATCATATGACCCCTTTAATAAAACAGTAGGCGAGATGACTTACAACTTCAACTGAGATTCCATAATGCGAAAGAGTTGTAAATGGCAGTGAAATGGCGCAACTGACATCGTAAGTCGTTTTACTGTCGCAAACTTATCAAATGTAATACCTATTTTGGACACAGCAACGGAATTGCCACCAGCTACTGGTGGTTTTAGTTTTATATATATATTTTTTTTTTCATATTTTAATATTAAAAATTTCGCATTTGAAAAACTAATCTCTTAGCATTAATTATGCAATTGCAATCATTAAATAGTCTCTAAATATCATACACCCCTATTATATATATTAGCATTTAGTACATCTTGCCTGGGTAGGTGAAAGGCCACGGTCCATCTATGTATCCAATGTAAGCAGTTATACAGACTGCAAGGATGCCATGGAATAGTGTAACTAGCCGACAGTTCCATTCATAGCCGCAAGAGCCATTTGTGTAGCACAGCAAAGCATAAAGAGCAATCCACCCAGCTAAGCACACTCCGACTCCCAGCACCAATGGCGACATCTTTATTCTGTGAACCTAATCAAATACAATGAGCTGTCACATTCACAAAACACTTTATCATGTTAGATAGCATGCATGCATTCATGAGAGTACTTACGTGAAGCACCACAGCACTTGGGAGTGACTGTCCAAAAAAAATGACACTTTTCCTTTGATTCTGATGTGGAATAAGCGCTAAAACCACTCAAGTATGTCTGAAGGGCTAGCAGTGGATTTCACATTAACAGTTGAGAAATACAAGAGTCTGGCTTGTATCTGGGTGTGTCAAAAGTAGACCAAAAGTTACTGTGGCAACCTTATCCACACAGCTCTTAATCCTAATGTTGTCCGAACCTCGGATGTAAAGCAGCTGATGTTGAACTAGGTCAGTACTAGGTTACTTTATTTTAACATATATATCCAGACACTGATGTAGCCTGTATGCAAGTTTGAGAACTGAGAAAGCGTTCTTATTCATAGCAGGTTTAATAAGAAATAATTGATCAAATAAACACTCAAAAGTTACTGTGGCAACCTTATCCACAGCTCTTTATCCTAATGTTGGCCGAACCTTGGAAATAAAGCAGTTTAGTGTCAATATTAGGTTATTTTATTAAACATATATATCAAAATACTGATATAGGTTTGGGAAATGAGAAAGGATTCTAATTCTTATACATACAGCTCTTTATCCTAATGTTGTCTGAACTATGGAAGTGAAGCAGTTGAACTATGTAAATATTAGGTTATTTTACCGAACATACATCAGGATACTGATATGTAGGTTTTGGAACTGAGAAAGGGTTCTTATTCATATTTATAACGGATTCAGTAAAAAAATAGTAAAATTAATAATTAATAATTGAAATAAATACATTATAAACACTAACTAAAATAAATTAATTTAAAACATGCTCCTGCTTCAAGCAAAATTATGCAATGAAAACAAAAAAAATGGTCACTTTCAATCATATGAGCCAGGACGCTTTTGGTTAATCAAAAACATACAATGCGAACCGTCTAGTTTGATTCATTTTTGGTTAATCAAAAACACAAAGCAAACTGTGTAGTCTGATTAATTAGCAATTAGCAAAAGAAACAGACGAATAAAAACAAATGTTACCAACGTTTGTGTTTATTATTTTTCTATAATATATATATATGTAGAGTCAAATGTTGCACTGCATTTATATCACTTCTAAAAAAGTAAAATAAATAAAAAAAATGCTTTTCTGTTTTCTATAATCCGTTTTATTGGAATATGAAATTATCTGACCATTTGGCTTTTTTTTTTTCAGATGCATTCATTAAAAGTGCTACTAGAAGCATGGTTAATAGAACAGTTTAGGAATCGTTCAATTTCTTACGATTCCCATCCCTACTGTTGCCAAAGAGTCATAGTTATATATATATATATATATCTCTCTCTTTCTCAAATAGTATTAGTTCACAGTGCAAAACAGATAGCCTACTGCTGGATCCAGGCTGGCTAATCTTCTGAGCTGTGGGCTGACTGAGGTTAAATTAATTACCACCCTTCATTAAATTAAGATGAGCGGGTTCAACTTGTAGCCATGAAATTAAATCTGTTGTTTAAAAAAGGAAAAAGTATATACCTCTAAAAATAGTCACCTCAAAAGCATGTTCATTGACAGGCCGGAGGGTTCTTGAGGCTCAGCATGGATGCTGTCTGCTTCCTCCGTGCCTCCCGTTTCTGCATCACGTAACGTTACAGAAGCGCAGCAGCGGAGCGGACGCAAGACCTCGAGGGATCAGCTCCGGCATCGTCTTGGAGATAGTAACAGTTACGCAAGTCAGCACACAAACAAAAGCCACATTTCAGCCTCTCGGTCCCTCTGCGGCTGGACAACAGCGAGGATGGCAACAAAGAGGAAGACGCATCCTCACAGCACGGCGACCTCTGCTGGTACGGACCGCGGCCTTCCTTCACAACAAATTACAACGTAACCATAGTTACCGCTGTTGTTAGTTAGTACGAAGGTCTTCTATACTCTTTGGTATGGTCACTACTTTAAAACAATAATCAGTTATCATGACATTTGATTCGAGCAGTGTTTCTGCCATTTTCATTTTTATGACGTGGCCTAAATTTCTAGTCAGATTATAATAACAATGACTGTAGTAAGTATTTTGGCGGCAAAACTATACCTTTTAATTTTTAATAACAGTAACCGTTCAAATAAACAAGTGCATCTTGAGAAAAATCTGGAAATATATATGCTAAGCGTTCAATACAACGAGAAAAAAAATGGACAAATTATCACTACTACTACTACTGCTACTAATGATAATAATTCAGAGAGATTGACTTTTTTTGCTTTTAAAAGCTATAGGCTTGTTGACCAGAGTAGCAAGTTGTTACAAATTTATTTAAATAAAATATCTATATGGTGTCGCATTGCATTGTCAGTGAACAAGTAACTAACTCTTTATTCAATAATAACATCTCCAATGAATAATGTTTCATACGTAATATTAAATGAACATAATAATGCTTATATTAGGTAGAGTACTTTAATTATAGAGTGCAAGATGATTTGATTCCAGTACACTACTATTCAAAAGTGTAGGTTAGGATACAAAAATATATATATTTACAAAAGTCTCTTATGCTCCCCAAGGCTGTATTTATTTAATGAAAATACAGCAAAAATATTATTACAATTTCAAATATCTGTTTTCTACTTTAATGTTCTTTCAAATGTAATTTATTCCTGATATAGCAAAGCTGAATTTTCAGCATCATTACTCCAGTCTTGAGTGTCACATGATCCTTCAGAAATCATTCTCATATGCTGATTTGATGCTCAAAAAACATTTCCTATTAATATCAATGTTGAAAACAGTTGTGCTGCTTGCTTTGAACTGTAGTGTATAACGAAACATTATATAATGCTTCAAGTTATTTAGAAAATGTTAAACATACAGGTAGGTTTGACACCATCACAATGTTGCAGCTCTGCAAAGGCTTTTAAAAACAACTTTGTTTTTCTAACTGTAAAAAAGACACCGGTTATAAAAGACAGTTTGCTGAAGGAGCTTTTATTTCAAATGACTTCATATTATGCCCATATTCATTTTCATAGGAAAATAGTTCCGATACTTTATTCATACCAGCTTTATCTGTAAAAAGAATCAGTAAACACTGAATCACCAAGGCACTTGTATCCCAGACAATGGCTGTTGTTTGGGGAGGTGTAATCTCAAAAAACATTTTTAACATAACACTTAAACTCTCTGAAACAAAATTAAATAAATCCGTATAAACATTTTAGTACCATGAACGACAACCGAATCACCTGTAGCATGTTAAACGCGAACATTCACATGTTAAGAGAGGCGAGTCGTGAGTTGAAGATGAATGTAGTGAAACAATAGAACGGTTTCTCTTCTTCATGATAGAGCTCAGTCTGCGGATTTGGTCCTGATAAATGAAAGTGATTTCTTCTAGTGCGTCTGATACCACACAAAAGGATGTGAATCCGTATTTGTGATGGTTTCACAGCTCTGCTGATGTTCTGAGGTCATGCTGATAGGAGGAGCCTGAGTGACAGTAATGCTGCAAAACCCGAAGATGGCAGTGTTGGATGCACAGATTTCATCAGCCTGATGCCCTTCTCAGTACTTTCTATCCCTCAGAACATACACTTACTTTGGTTTCCTCACTTCACTTTTGAAGTATTGTCTGTTCCCAACTAATCAGAGGCCATACTTCAAACTGTATTGATCCAACTGGTCCTTAAATGATACTGTTGTGCAAGTCCATCCTTATGAAAATGAAAACACACACTCCCAAAGAATCCCAGCATTAAGACTTACGGTGAGATAATTCACATGATTGAATCGGTCTGAATTAAAAGTGATCAATGATTGATTAATAGCGTTTTCTGTCTGCACCAATATTAATCAAAGCATGTATATGTTCACCACAGTGCTTTGAATCTAACAGTCAAAATATAAAACTAAAAAGAGCGAGAAAAAAGGCATTTTCTCTGAACGTGTGCGCTGTGCTTAAGTGTCTTCAATCGTATCCCACTGCCAAATAAATAATACCAGTTTCAGAAAAAAAAGAAAATTGTCAACCTGACGAGATCCAGCTAATTTTAAGATTACATCTTGTTATATAGAGACTAATTCACAGGTTGCTCGTCCCAGACTCAATTGGGTCTCAATTCCATTCCATAGTGCTGGTAAGAGCAGGAAGAGCTTTAAAACTACTGACCTCAAAACTTGCCATCCACACCCATCCAGCATCATTTCTGCTCTGTGCATAAGGCACGAGTTTGAAGGCTTGGAGGTGGTGAAGGTCACATTAAATATGTTTTTGCAGAAGCATATGTGGTTCTAGGTCTCTTCCTCCCATAGGCACAGCTGTTTGTGGGGCACGTAGTAAGTAAACTGGTAGCCTTTGCTGCAGCTCTTGATGCCGCATTTATACGGGCTGCCCCTGCCAGAGACGTCTCTGTTGCGGCAGTACTTCAGCAGGCAGGGGTACCATTCCAGTCTGAGGTTGTAGCTACAGGAGCACGGCTGCCACAGGTCCTTCACTGTCCCGCAGCTCTGCAGGCCTGGCACCTCCACGGCTTGAGGCTCGAACATGGAGCCCTCCATGCCTGAAGAATCGGAAAAATAATTTATTATAGTTTAACGATCATCAAGCTTCAAGCTATGTAGGTCAGTGGGGCATTACAAATGCAGATGTGTTCCAATTAAAACAGTAATGCATCTGTACTGGGACTAACTACATTAAATTGATGAGGAAAAGAGTTGGATAAAGCTCAAACTTTTTTTTTTTAAATATTGTTTTACTGTCGCCATGTCTATAATGACAGTTAAACATGATAATTCAAGTAAAGAGCCTCATTATTTAATAGAAGTATTTAACCCAATTAAACCATAAAATTAATTAAAAATAGAAAATTTACAAATATAGCCTAAATATACTTTTAAAAATCACATTATTTTTCACTCTATATTCGAGATACCATAATTCATTTTAATTATTCATAATAATTTCATTTATATTTTTATATGATATTAATAGACAATAGATATAGAGAGACAGAGGTTATATATTACAATTATTAAAAATCACATCACTTTTAATTATAAAAATGTTCTTGATGCATCATTTATTTTATTCTTACTAATATCATTCATATATTTGATATCAAATATTTTTATTCTGCTCTTTAATTATTAAAAATCACATAACTTCTTTTTATATATATACAATATATATTTATATTATACAAACATATAATTTTTGTATTGAAAAGTTGGTCAAACTTTATTTAAGGTCCAATTCTCGCTATTTACAAATCATTAACTACAACTTTTGCCTCAAACTCCTAATTTGCGGCTTATGAATAGTTAGTAAGGTAGTTGTTAAGTTTAGGTATTGGGTAGGATTATGGATGTAGAATATGGTCATGCAGAATATATGCTTTATAAGTACTAATAAACAGCCAATAGGTTAATAATAAGCATTCTAATAAGCAACTAGTTAATAGTGAGAATTGGTCCCTATACTAAGTGTTACTGAAATGTTTTGTCTAAATGTTCTATATGTTCAATATTATTCATACATATATACAAATACATATTTACATATACAATATATAAACACATTTAAAATATATTTATACACATTTATATTTATATTAATTTATAACCTGGTTTCATCCTTTCTTGGCATCAAAACTTAT